TCGTGTACCTGCGAGGCCAACAATAATTGACCGGCCATTTTATAAACGGACCAATTTTCCAAATTGGCCACAACATATGTATATATTCTGCTGATAGATTTGTATATTTAACCTGCATTGTTTGATGTTAAGAAATTGTTTTAATCAAGATCTACTATTAAACGAAGACTATAGAAAAAAATAAGATTAAATATAAATATTTTATTTATGAGAAAAGAGAAATTTTTCGGAAAGAAAGCAAAACTTTCTTTTACTTTAGCTCATGATTTCTCTCTGGATGAAACCAACTTTGATGTCTATTTATATCGATACACCGACATTTTTGCGAACGACATAAAACCTCAGTGACGTTATGCGATGCATACCCTAGTGAATGTACTTGCATACAAGTACTTGCCCAAGTACCCTCGCAAGTTTTGTCCAACGTTCTTGGCTATTTTTGCAAGTAAATCAAGTACTTGAATTACCTGATCTGCTTGTCAAGCACTTGGCTAAGTATTTGCCCAAGTAATCCGCAAGTACCTGATGAAAGTTTGACAAGTAAATCACATACTTGGCAAGCGCTACTCTTGAATAAATTCTACAAGTACTTGAAGTACTTGGGAAGTACATGACAAATAATGTAATACTTGTTTCACACCGTCTTTGTTGAGATTAATTGTTCGTGCTAATTTAATGATCTCATAACATGATTCACGGACTGATAAAGGCGAATTGTCATACAGTGGTGTGTAATTCTTCACATCTAACTCACATAACATTTCATCAAAGTCATTTCCTTCAACAATTTCATCTGGTCTATCACTATCACTGAAACAGGACGCATCATCTGCAACGTCTTCTAACATTTTTTCTTCAATTTCATTCCTTGTAATTGGTGGAAGTTCAAATGGGATATCCTCATCACATATCATTTCTTCTTCATCATTTAAAATTGCGGCATTAACTTTTGAATGATATTCTCGCTTGTAATCTCTACTACTTTTCACACGCTTCCACATATTTATATACAGCAACGTTTTGGAAAACACGAAAATATAACTCTTGCAGCACAAATAAGATATATATATCCCCCTGGCAAGAAATAGTTAGACTCGGTATTTGTAACATATCATTACTATAAATTTATATTTTTAGAAAAGTAATTATATATTCTGGTAGCGCTTTAAATTCTCTATTAGTCTCTGCTTTTCCAGCCTGAATTCGAAATTATTTGCTAGCAAAAATTTTGAAAATTGTTAATGCCCTCTACCTATCACATTCTCACGAATTGTAACGAGTGCAGTTTCTCAGTATTTTCTATTTTTCTTGCATTTCTTTAGGACCCAAATGTTAATGTTTTTCTTAAAAAGACGCGCTGCGAAATACTCTACAAAACCATACCTAAACTTTAATTTCAGAACGTCAATCAAGAAAACTACGCAGATTATACGAAAGACAAAAAAAATGAAAGCTTTGAAAATCTGGTATTTTTTTCCACTTTAACCTTTTTCTTCAGCTGTTATTGCTGTAAAAAGGGGTTGCAAAAGTGAGAACTCAGTTCTTTTTGTACTTTTGAATGTGCTCTTTCTCATGGTCTGTAAAAGAAGAGTTAGTTGAAGAAGCATGTAATACAAACCATGGGAATGCGATACGTGAGTACATTAACAATATTCCAAATATTTGTCAGCAAAGAATTGCAGGTCAAGACCGGCAACGTGCAGGATCATAGAGAATTTCACGCGCTTTCAGAATCTCATTCAGAAGGTCATGTAGGTTTTCGTAGGTTGTGTAGAGTATGTGCATTGTATGGGTTGCCTAGGTCGTGAAGGTTTTGTACGCTTAAGAACTTATGTAGGTTTACTTGTGCCGTGTAGGTTATGTAGGCTAACGAAGGGTGAGGTTGAGGTTACATAACTACGTAAACCTAAA